ATGAAAAATGTTGTAGAAAGTAACAATGTCAAATGGCTTGGAATGTTTGACAATCCCCTTTACCGCTAGCCATTTTGGTTTGTTTGACCTCTTGGGGCCCCTCATTTAGATAGGCTACACAGTCAGTACCGGTAGTTTGTTAAGTTTAATTAATTTTGGCATCTGTTTGAACAAGTAGTCTTTGAGCATCTGTGACTTCGACTGGTCTTAATCAGGCTTGTTTAGTTTAGAGAACCTTTGCGTTAGGCCACAGGGTTTATGCCTAGGTTAAGCTAGGCTAATTGTAGGCTAGTTTTGGTTGTTTTTGTTCAGTATTCAAGCTAATACCTTTTGCTTTGGGTAATGTTCTGTACAAGGTAGACACTAAACTTCACTCTAAAGAATAGCTTAAATCATGAAATGGGCTATTTGATCATCACTGATAGGCTAACAGATCACTCTAACCCTTCTATGCTGTTCAAGCTGAGGGGAGGAGTTAAACTATGTCTACTATAATTAAAACATTTTGTTGCCAATTTTCTCTTTTTAATCAGGAGCTCTTCCTTTTGTAAAGAAACTGGTAAAGAGACACATTGGAAGTTTACTTTGTGGGAGTCATTAGGTTACCCCTCAGTCGAACTTAGGCTAACCCAAATATTGACTTAAATGTGGAGAACGGTTTATGTACACTTGTCAGTTTCAGTCTTCATGGTGTAAATCAAATCAACATTTTGTTTGTCGCGTACACAGCTTTTGCAGATGTTATCGCAGGTGCAGCGAAATGCTCCAACAGTGCAGTAATACCTGACAATACAAAACAATACCCAAAAAGAAAGGAATAAAGAAATGTCAGGATGAGCAATATCCGTCTGGTATATAAATATACACAGGACAAAAATATAAACGCAACATGGAAAGTGTTAGTACCATTTTCATGAGCTGAAATAAAAAATTCACAAAAAGCTTATTCCTCTCAAATGTTGTGCACAAATTTGTTTACAGCCCTGTTAGTGAGCATTTCTCCTATGCCAAGATAATCCATCCACCTGACAGGTGTGGCATATCAAGAAGCTGATAAAACAGCATGATCATTACACAGGTGCACCTTGTGTTGGGGACAATAAAAGGCCACTTTAAAATGTGCAGTTTTGTCACACAACGCAATGCCACAGATGTCTCAAGTTTTGAGGGAGCATGCAATTGGCATGCTGACTGCAGGAACATCCACCAGAGCTGTTGCCAGATAATTGAAAGTTAATTTCTCTACCATAAGCTTCACCCAATGTTGTTTTAGAGAATTTGGCAGTACGTCCAACCGGCCTCACAACCACAGACCACATGTAACCACGCAGGCCAAGGACCTCCAGATCCGGCTTCTTCACCTGCGGGATCGTCTGAGGGGGGATGGGTGTTGAGGAGTATTTCAGTCTGTAATAAAGCCCATTTGTGGGGGAAAACTCATTCTTATTGACTGGGCCTGGCTGCCGAGTGGGTGGGCTTATGCCCTCCAAGGCCCACCCATGGCTGCACCCCTAGCCAGTCATGTGAAATCCATAGATTAGGGCCTAATGAATTTATTTCAATTGACTAATTTCCTTAAATGAACTGTAACTCAGTAAAATCTTTGAAATTGTTGCATTTTGCATTTTTATATTTTTTGTTCAGTATATATGTATATGATGGTGTGTTTTATGGACAGTATATGAATAGAAAAGGTGTGTACAGCAGTACTTATAACCTATAGGATGAGGTGTGGGCGTGCCGTTGGGGGTGAATGACAGCCTAACCTGCTGTTCCGGTTACTGACATTTGTATTATGGAACAGCGGATTTACCTTCTTGTTGGGACATTAGAATAGACCTAGGACTATATCTACAGTGAGGGGAAAAAGTATTGGATCCCCTGCTGATTTTTGTACGTTTGCCCACTGACAAAGACATGATCAGTCTATAATTGTAATGGTAGGTTTATTTGAACAGTGAGAGACAGAATAACAACAAAAAAATCCAGAGAAATGCATGTAAAAAAAAATATAAATTGATTTGCATTTTAATGATGGAAATAAGTATTTGACCCCTCTGCAAAACATGACTTAGTACTTGGTGGCAAAACCCTTGTTGGCAATCACAGAGGTCAGACGTTTCTTGTAGTTGGCCACCAGGTTTGCACACATCTCAGGAGGGATTTTGTCCCACTCCTCTTTGCAGATCTTCTCCAAGTCATTAAGGTTTCGAGCCTGACGTTTGGCAACTCGAACCTTCAGCTCCCTCCACATATTTTCATAGGGATTAAGGTCTGGAGACTGGCTAGGCCACTCCAGGACCTTAATGTGCTTCTTCTTGAGCCACTCCTTTGTTGCCTTGGCCGTGTGTTTTGGGTCATTGTCATGCTGGAATACCCATCCACGACCCATTTTCAATGCCCTGGCTGAGGGAAGGAGGTTCTCACCCAAGATTTGACGGTACATGGCCCCGTCCATCGTCCCTTTTGATGCGGTGAAGTTGTCCTGTCCCCTTAGCAGAAAAACACCCCCAAAGCATAATGTTTCCACCTCCATTTTTGACGGTGGGGATGGTGTTCTTGGGGTCATAGGCAGCATTCCTCCTCCTCCAAACACGGCGAGTTGAGTTGATGCCAAAGAGCTCGATTTTGGTCTCATCTGACCACAACACTTTCACCCAGTTCTCCTCTGAATCATTCAGATGTTCATTGGCAAACTTCAGACGGGCCTGTATATGTGCTTTCTTGAGCAGGGGGACCTTGCGGGTGCTGCAGGATTTCAGTCCTTCACGGCGTAGTGTGTTACCAATTGTTTTCTTGGTGACTATGGTCCCAGCTGCCTTGAGATCATTGACAAGATCCTCCCGTGTAGTTCTGGGCTGATTCCTCACCGTTCTCATGATCATTGCAACTCCACGAGGTGAGATCTTGCATGGAGCCCCAGGCCGAGGGAGATTGACAGTTATTTTGTGTTTCTTCCATTTGCAAATAATCGCACCAACTGTTGTCACCTTCTCACCAAGCTGCTTGGCGATGGTCTTGTAGCCCATTCCAGCCTTGTGTAGGTCTACAATCTTGTCCCTGACATCCTTGGAGAGCTCTTTGGTCTTGGCCATGGTGGAGAGTTTGGAATCTGATTGATTGATTGCTTCTGTGGACAGGTGTCTTTTATACAGGTAACAAACTGAGATTAGGAGCACTCCCTTTAAGAGTGTGCTCCTAATCTCAGCTCGTTACCTGTATAAAAGACACCTGGGAGACAGAAATCTTTCTGATTGAGAGAGGGTCAAATACTTATTTCCCTCATTAAAATGCAAATCAATTTATAAAATTTTTGACATGCGTTTTTCTGGATTTGTTTGTTTTTATTCTGTCTCTCACTGTTCAAATAAACCTACCATTACAATTATAGACTGATCATGTCTTTGTCAGTGGGCAAACATACAAAATCAGCTACTTTTCAAATCAAATACTTTTTTCCCTCACTGTATATAGTCTATATCTATAATGAACAGAATAAAGGTTTGTATGCTCCTCTCTCTGTCTGGTCAAAGGGTTGTTGAAACCATGAGTTTCAGGTCAGGACAAACATGAGATGAAACCTGTATTAGTTTCATCCAGGGCTGTCTTGTCTGGGTGTGTCTGTCTGTGTCTCCGTCCCATGAATACCTGTTTTCAGTCCACAGTTATCATTAGGCTAGGTTTGTTGGCATAGAAGAATGCGGTGTTGTGAACAGGAACATTTACATTTCAGACGAACACAACCACAACAATTTAAAACAATTTTATCAGGGAACAGCACAAGCACAGTCAACATGAAGACATGCTGATGTAGACCTATTAGCTTGTTTAGTTCATTGGCTCTAGTCTCCATTTTAGCTTGCCATTTTCACCTCTAACTGATTTATTATTCTGAGTAGGCCTAGTCAGGTCAATACATGTAGGTTGATGTTAGTCCTATCCCACAACTTGGCTACCGTTCAAACACTAGGTTATTTATCCAAAATAGCCTGTATGCTAGGCTAACTCGCTTTCTGTCCTGAGGTGGTAAAACCTCATACTTTTCTGTAGGTTTACTTACCAGTAGAAGGTCTAGGCTACATTTGCATTTAAATGCAGGTAAAATATGTCAAAGGTGGAAGCCTAGATTGAGTGTGCTCTTGAAAACCTCCTGTAGCTCAATTGGTAGAGCATGGCGCTTGCAACGCCAGGGTTGTGGGTTCCATTCCCACGGGGGGCCAGTATGAAAAATGTATGCACTCACTTAACTGTAAGTCGCTCTGGATAAGAGCGTCTGCTAAATGACTAAAATGTAAATTGGAGTCCAGTTCACCGTCATCACTGAATGCCTTGGGTTCGCAATCAAAGGAGACTACTTGTCCTTAAAATAGGCCTACCTCATCAGAGATATGATTTTTTTTTATACCGGTAGCCTATTATTCATAATTCAATTAAAGTGGAGGGCTATATATATAATTCCCTCACGACTTCTGTGAAAAGACGATGAAGATTGTGATATCGTTTTCAGTTAGTAGTGTAGACCTATAGTGAGACTAAGTTCAATGTGCAGGACATTGTGGTGATTCAATACGTTCCAATTAGAAGCATTTCCAAACCTCTTACATAGTGTTCTTGAAATCGTGTCTGTTTTTGAAACAACATGTCTTTTTGGGGTATCATTTTTATATCTATGAAACGGAGATGGTTAAATTGCATGTTGACTCGGGGTGCCTGGAAGTGTCAGGATAAGGCAGCATCCAAGTAGGTCATCATCCATTAGAATAGATGATTACGTCAGAGAACTGGGTAGGAACTGAACAATATTTCCCAGGCCACTGACCACCACTCTTAGGCCTAATTGCTTTACTTTTTGCTGGTTTAAACTTATTTAGTGAGTTGAATTGTAGTTAAGTATGGCTAGCCTATTACCTGTTTTTAAGACTCCCTCAACGTTTTAATTTGGTTCAATCTGGAAAGTGTTTTGATTTATCAATGTACTACTGTTGCATCACATTTTCAGGATGGGACAAACCGTAAGCTGTTTACCATGTTGTATTTCGTGTATTGTTCACTAATGTTTCCTATGTGTATGTCAACTGTAGACCTACAGCTAATCTAATGTGTGTTTTGTCTTTTTCAGCCATTCTTTCAGCTGGTAAAGCTACGAAAGCTGGGCCTGAGTGACAACGAGATCCAGAGGCTTCCTCCAGAGATAGCCAACTTCATGCAGCTGGTAGAACTTGATGTCTCTCGTAATGGTGAGAAGAGAACTACTGCTCTGAACTAGCAGTGTGACGTTTAAACTGAATTTGGATTAACGTTTAGAAAAAATCCCTAAATAAAACGTGTTTAAAAAAAAAAATACTAAATTACAATCGCAGTGCATTTATCAAAACTACCACTAACAAACAAATTAAATAAAATAATTGAGGCTGCAATATGTAACTTTTTGGGCGACCCAACTAAATTAACATAGAAATGTGAGTTATAGATCTGTTATTCTCATTGAAAGCAAGTCTAAGAAGCGTTAGATCTGTTCTATGTGCGCTATTTCTATGCTTCCGGTCTTAAGTTTCGTTTTTGCGTCTTTTGCTTTCGGTTTTTTACACCAGCTGAAATTAGGAGAACTGTTAGAATTTTTGCAACCAGGAAATGGCTGCGCGATATCTGCATATTGCACCTTTAAACAAACACCTAATGCAACGATGCTGTAACGATAGTAGGAGGAGATATGAGTCTTTCAAATGATTTGCTGCAGATATAAAGCGCTCTGCACGTCATGCTCGTTAACAGTTGAAAAAATGGCAGAGCGTGAGACCAGAAATGACAGCAGCAAAGTCCTGTATGGCAATACTTTGAGAAGGTTGTGAAATGCAAACTTTGTGAGGTGAAATTGAGCTACAGTGGCAGTACAGGTGCAATGCTGAAGGGGAGGCACCGTGAGACCCAATCCATTGCTGGCAGCAGTGGGATAAGGGAGTGAGGATCACAGCGCTGATTACAGAAATGATTGCAGTTGATATGCAGCCGTTGTCAATGGTAGAGGACGTCGGCTTCAATGTTTCCCTAATGGCATGTCTAGAACCAGATTACAAGATGCCATGTCAAAAAACCGTGATGGCCCGGGTGGAGAAATTGTACAATGATTGCTCTGCAAGTAGCCCTACAAAAGCTCTTAAATGCCGTACGTGGCGCAACAGATTGTTGGATGTCTATGAACACGCTGTCATACATCACTGCAACGAGCCATCACATTGATGAGGAGTGGGACACGAAGTCCCATGTACTACTGAGAACATGGAGGAGAGGCACACAACAGAGAACCTAAAACGGCATTAACTACCATCGTTGCTGAGTGGGTGGGGGACAGCAGCAAGGGGAGGGCCGTCTGGTAGGGTTTCCACTAGATATCACAAAGTCAAAATTGTCTATATCGTAAAAATTCATGAAAACAAAAACATTTTGGTCTTTAATTTAGGGTTAGGCATAAGGTTAGCAGTGTGGTTAAAGTTAGGGTTAAGGTTAGGTTTAAAATCACATTTTAAGAAGAGAAATTGTAGAAATAGGTGGGGTTTATGACTTTGTGGCTGTGTTAACTAGTGACGACCGTCGTAGCCAGCCAGTTCTGTGGTAGATTGAACTGCATTGCCCCTTAGCGGTCATATGCAGGACCATATCTGAATTGTGAATTCACATAATTTTAAAGATTTTTTTTCTTATCGTTTGAAATGGCAGTTTAAACGTTAAGATTTTTAAAACATTAGTCAAATCCCTACTCTAAACACTCAGTTGGAGGGATTTTCAGCCCCACCAAACAGGTCTAAACTCGCATTGATTCAACCACTGGTACTATGAATGAACAGACATTTTAAAACGCCTGCTATTTTGATAACGCCTCAGTTGTTATGACTAGGCTCTTTGTTAGAAAATGCAGTAAGTGCTAGACAAGCAATAGAAGAATCTTAAACCACCAGGAAAATTGCAATTGGCTCAGAACAGGGCAGCACGGCTGGCCCTTGGATGTACACAGAGAGCAAACATGTCAATCTCTCCTGGCTCAAAGTGGAGGAGAGATTGACTTCATCACTACTTGTATTTGTGCGAGGGATTGACATGTTGAATGCACCGAGCTGTCTGTTTAAACTACCGGCACACAGCTCGGACACCCATGCATACCCCACAAGACATGCCACGAGATGTCTCTTCACAGTCCCCAAGTCAAGAACAGACTATGGGAGGCGCACAGTACTACATAGAGCCATGACTACATGGAACCCTATTCCATATCAAATAACTCATGCCAGCAGTAAAATTAGATTTAAAAAACCGGATAAAAATACACTTTATGGAACAGCGGGGACTGTGAAGCAACACTAACATAGACACATGCATACAAACACATGATAACATACACACTATACACACATGTACACATGGATTTTGTGTTATAGATATGTGGTAGTAGAGTAGAGGCCTGAGGGGGCACACTTAATATGTTGTGAAATCTGTTATGAATGTATTGTAATGTTTTTAAAATTGTATAACTGCCTTAATTTTGCTGGACCCTAGGAAGAGTAGCTGCTGCCTTGGCAGGAACTAATGGGGATCCATAATAAATAAAAATACAGCACTATCCATCCCCTTCACTGTACAGACCCAACATATTTTCAGAGCCACATTGGTGTGGTTTCTCCCACAACGTCTGGACTAAAAGGGTTAACATTCCTCAAAGAGAGCTGCTATCGCAGAGCTTCCCAGTAGGACCAAATCCAGAATGCTAATTATGTTGATTATAGAAGTTCAAAAGGCAGTTTCACATGCAGCTCTATGTTTGGCGCAACAACCATGATCATTTTGTGGCGACTCTAAATATACTTTTCTCCTTTATGGCTATCTATTAACATTGCGTCTGGAGCACTAGCTTTAAGTGGAATGCCTAGTTGGATGGATGTTCTGAACTATGTTGTAATCTTGACTGAGGGACGTCATAGTTTTATAGTTGGACAAGAAATCTTAGGCCTGGCTAACAAAACCCAGTCTTCTTTTTATGCCAGTGTTTAGTGTATTGTTTCTCAGTACCATTTACAGTGTGTGTTGATCAAGATGTTTCTAACATGTATTTATTACCTCTCTCATATAGACATCATGGAAATTCCAGAGAGCATTTCGTACTGCAAAGCTCTCCAAGTAGCAGACTTTAGTGGAAACCCATTAACAAGGTAACTGAACTTTGAATTCATGTCTCCATAAATGTTTAGCGAATGGGAGGGATAACAAAACAGACGTACAGTAGTGTAGTATCACTATAGAAGGTTATATGTAGGAACTGCATGACAACTTCAACATAGAGGAAGAATCGTTCGAACACTAGCAGACCATTGTAAACAAGAACTATACTGGGATGAAAATGCACTTTTATATAGGTACGTCTTCAGACACGCTAGTTAAAGTAAAAAAATATGATTCAATTAGCATTAACTAGTTATTTAAGTTAATGAATGTAATTGTATGGGATATTTTTTTGCCCCAGTTTTCCTCTCAGCTGTCTCATGCAGAGGAGGCTGGTGGGAGGAGCTATAGGAGGATGGGGCTCATTGTAGTGGCTAGAATGGAATACATGGAACAGAGTCAAACATGTGGTTTCCATATGTGTGATACCGTTCCATTTATTCCATTCCAGCCATTACAATGACCCCGTCCCCCTATAGCGCGTCCCACCAGCCGCCTCTGGTCTCCTGGTGAGGTCTGTGTTTAATTTGCACCCCAGTGGAGGCAAAGCCACGATGCCATATGGTTCAGTTTGGGACTGGCCATGCACTGGGCTGTGTGATTAGCTTAACTACACTGGTACTGTACATATGGCCTACATCAGGGCTATTCAACTCTTACCCTACGAGATCCGGAGCCTGCTGGTTTTCTGTTCTACCTGATAATTAATTGCACCCACCTGGTGTCTAAATCAGTCCCTGATTTAGAGGGTAACAATGAAAAAATGCAGTGGAACTGGCTTCGAGATCCAGAGTTGAGTTTGAGGGGCCTGGATGTTCTTGTTAGAAAGCTTTACAGCTACTCAGTTCCCGAGGAAGAGAATATATAGCTGGCACTCTGTGACTGACCTGCAGATGATACAATATGGTTAAGCGTTGTGATTTGGAATGAAATGTGGCCAGGCATTACAACCCACAAATAAAACTTTCACACTCCCACACTGAGATTGTCTCTGGGTGACCATTTTAGATATGAGTGGGTGGCAGGTAGCCTGATAGTTTAAGAGCTTTTGGCCAGTAATCGAAAGGTTGCTGGTTTGAATCCTCGAGTCGACTAAGTGAAAAATCTGTCAATGTGCCCTTGAGCAAGGCACTTAACCCTAATTGCTCCTGTAAGTCGCTGTGGATAAAAAATGTAAATGTCTCTGGGTGACCATTTTTAGATAGGAGTGAATCAAGTCATGAAGGCTTAAAACCATAATATATCAAATGGAAAGAAGTTAGTTCCTGTTGATTGAAAACACTTTCCTGTCAGAGAGGAAAGTAGTTGGCCTATATCAACTTTATAGTATATTTTATGGATGTTTCCTTACTGCCTATTAATACAGTCAGATCCATAGATTTTCAAGAATCTGCATCCATTTATTTGAATCTGCAAAGATCTGATTATATTTGAATGCCTCTCTGGTTTTTCCAGATTGCCTGAGAGTTTTCCAGAGCTCCGGAATTTAACATGCCTTTCCATCAATGACATTTCATTGCAGGCTCTTCCCGAAACCATTGGAAAGTAAGTACCTCATCCTTTTAGTCTTTTTTTATTTATTTTTATTGCTTCATAGTCCTTTCATACAGAAGTATTATTTTCTATATGAATCATATTTAAAATAATAATAATATAATATATTGGTCATTTTTATGAAGATTCAGTGTATAATTTCACAAAGGGACAAGAATGGTGTTATTGGATTTATGGCAGATACATTTACAGGGGTAGTTTTATCAGCAAGTTCTGCTTCTTTCCTGTCCTCTATCCCCAGTGGCCCTGTTTAATTTCCTGTGTAATTTTCTCCAGCGTGCCATGTTCCCTGATGTTTCACTTGCAGAAGAATGCCAGCCCTCTCTCCCTTCAGATAACGGCTTAATATGGCACAGAGCAACTAGTGTAAAACTAAACGGAGCTCTGTTTTGATTTGACATATTGCTGTAAATTAGGGATGACTTACATGATTAGCATAGCCTTAGATGATTAATACACAGATGGTATTTTGAAGAATGATTCAGCCTTGGTTTTCTCTCTCTTTGATTAGTAGGTCTAGATTATAGACTTTAAGTAATGTTACATTCATTGCGCTCAGCTCGATGAAGTCCTATTAAAGCTGTGTTGATCTGTGAGTTACCATGGTGACCTAGTAAGAGCTCGGTGACAGTTGGTGTGAGAAGACGGACCTACTCGTGAATAAATGCAGAGCATTAGGCCATATTGATTGTTCATCCATTCACTCACTCTCTCATCTAGCTGTAGAGGACTGAAATGTTATCATCACATGAGGTTGTACACAAAAGGGGTAGGCTTTATGGATTTGTAGAAAAAAACACTTTTCTACACCTCTGTTAATCTCTCGTGGACAGGCGCACGTAACATAAATGGTATCGTACTGTCTGTCAACAGATTGTAGGATGCGACAACTAAGGAGGAACTTTGTTCAGATTTTTCGTCACAGATCATTTAAACAAATCAACATTTCAAAGGTGTTCGCATCTTTCGAATTTCCGAAGTGAAGGGGACATTTGGCCCATTGACTAACTTCAGATAGAGGGGGTGGCGCTACCGCTCTGCCTCTGCCCCTCGTTCTAGTATGTTTTCAACATACTTTTTAGTACCATGTTTCCGAAATTATGATTATCGATGTCGCCGGCTATCCCCTCACCGAGACACCACTGTAGTAGCTGCATTTGTAAATCATCCAGCATTGATATACCATATCAGTGTTGTTGCACTTGAGCCATTGATCTATGCTCTTACTTTCACAGTAGATTTGACAGATGGATTTCTCTATTGGCTTTCCTCTGGATCTGACTCCCATGCAGAGTGGTTTAGAGGGCTCAGCGATAACAGATCAGTTTTCAGAGCTATCTCGTCCACCTCCCGATGGTATGGCATTGGCTTCTACCTCCGCCAAAGGCGTGTGTACCATACAGATGTTAGATCTTAATTTGATCACTCTTTTGTTGCTGAGAATTTTCCTGCATCGCAGGAAAGGCAGATTAATTCACTGAAAATCCACACTAACACACGGTTATATTAATAGTATTGCATTTGTCATGTAGTCTAATTTTGGCCAGATAATAGCCTAACCACTGATCAAGCAACATTATGGATTAACGTTCAAATCCTGTTGCTGCAGGAATATTTTGCTGCGACAATACGGGTCAAATTAAGATCCTACATCTATCTGACTTGCATAACTCAATGAGCCTGGGCCTGTCAGTATTTGCCCTCACAAATAGGGGAGTTAATGACTGAGGACTATAACACGGTTGAAAAACAAGTTAGTGTGGCTCAACAAAGCATGCAGCTCCACGTCATAGGGGTGAATGGCACTGACACCTTATCAACCCAACATGGTAATGGTCAGCTGGCTGGCCCTGGAATGTATGGCCTAGTGAGCGCTTATTTGCTCATCCTGCAGCATGTTGTGAATGATTTGGTTGGCTCTCTGGGTCATCTGAAATGCTAGGGCTAAAACTGCAAGCATCAGAGCTAGAAGAGATTTCTCTCTGTCCTTTTTTAAATCTGGCCCAGTAACCTCAACTTTGTGACAGGGGGGATCACACCAAGAAGATCTAGACAGACCCAGTCGGTTTAGTCACCGCAGAGGGTTAACCTGTCATTCAGGGGAGAATGCGTATAGATTAAGAAGAATGCTACTCTGTTTATCCCTCCGTTTGAGACTTCATGGCGCACATTTATTACTTTACTCCCATTATTAATGTTATTCAGATACCAAAGAACAGACTGTCAACTGTCCTTTCTCTATTAAAAGCTCCCGAGCCATTAGACCATTCAAATTGTATTACTTGTTAAAGGATTTTTTTTCAGTATACTGTCACTGAATGAAATGCACCATTTAATGCTGTCAGTGCTTAATTTGTAACTCGGGAGGTGCCAGAACAAAAAGTGAGCGCGAGAGGATATTGACCTGAGGGGCTCTGAGGTACCGGAACGCATGAAAAGAAAATCCAATTTATAATAAAGCATTGCATGCATATTGCATTTGCGTGGTGGCATAGAGGAGTAGAGGCACTTGCAGAAGTTGCACACATGGGGAAACATTTTTGTAACCTAAGGTCTGGGGAAGAATGTGGCCTTTTTATACAGTTGTAGTCGGAAGTTTACATACACTTAGATTGGAGTCATTAAAACTAGTTTTTCAACCACTCCACAAATTTCTTGTTAACAAACTATGGTTTTGGCAAGTCTGTTAGAACATCTACTTTGTGCATGACACAAGTAATTTTTCCAACAATTGTTTACAGACAGATTATTTCACTTATAATTCACTGTATCACAATTCCAGTGGGTCAGAAGTTTACATACACTACGTTGACTGTGCCTTTTAAACAGCTTGGAAAATTCCAGAAAATGATGTCATGGCTTTAGAAGCTTCTGATAGGCTAATTGACATCATTTGAGTCAATTGGAGGTGTACCTGTGAATGTATTTCAAGGCCTACCTTCAAACTCAGTGCCTCTTTGCTTGACATCATGGGAAAATCAAAAGAAATCAGCCAAGACCTCAGAAAAAATATTGTAGACCTCCACAGGTCTGGTTCATCCTTGGGAGCAATTTCCAAATGCCTGAAGGTACCACGTTCATCTGTATGAACAATATTACGCAAGTATAAACACCATGGGACCACGCAGCCGTCATACCGCTCAGGAAGGAGATGCGTTCTGTCTCCTAGAGATGAACGTACTTTGGTGCGAAAAGTGCAAATCAATCCCAGAACAACAGCAAAGGATCTTGTGAAGATGCTGGAGGAAACAGGTACAAAAGTATCTATATCCACAGTAAAACGAGTCCTATATCGACATAACCTGAAAGGCCGCTCAGCTAGGAAGAAGCCACTGCTCCAAAACCACCATAAAAAAGCCAGACTACGGTTTGCAACTGCACATGGGGACAAAGATCGTACTTTTTGGAGAAATGTCCTCTGGTCTGATGAAACAAAAATAGAACTGTTTGGCCATAATGACCATTGTTATGTTTGGAGGAAAAAGGGTGCGGCTTGCAAGCCGAAGAACATCATCCCAACCGTGAAGCACGGGGGTGGCAGCATCATGCTGTGAGGGTGCTTTGCTGCAGGAGGGACTGGTGCACTTCACAAAATAGATGGCATCATGAGGAAGGAAAATTTATGTGGATATATTGAAGCAAAATCTCAATACATCAGTCAGGAAGTTAAAGCTTGATTGCAAATGGGTCTTCCAAATGGAAAATGACCCCAAGCATACTTCCAAAGTTGTGGCAAAATGGCTTAAGGACAACAAAGTCAAGGTATTGGAGTGGCCATCACAAAGCCCTGACCTCAATCCTATAGAACATTTTTGGGCAGAACTGAAAAAGCGTGTGCGAGCAAGGAGGCCTACAAATCTGACTCAGTTACACCAGCTCTGTCAGGAGGAATGGGCCAAAATTCACCCAACTTATTGTGGGAAGCTTGTGGAAGGCTACCTGAAACGTTTGACCCAAGTTAAACAATTTAAAGGCAATGCTACCAAATACTAATTGAGTGTATGTAAACTTCTGACCCACTGGGAATGTGATGAAAGAAATAAAAGCTGAAATAAATCATTCTCTACTATTATTCTGACATTTCACATTCTTAAAATAAAGTGGTGATCCAAACTAACTTAAGACAGGTAATTTTTACTAGGATGAAATGCATTTCATGCAATTCCAGGTCATTTTACATGACTGGAGACTTTAGCTAAATATATTTTAATACCGCACAAATTATCGAAATGACAGGCTACTTTGACACTGAGAATCTGAGCTCAATAAAATGACCTTGTCTTGAATCCATCAATAGCCTAGGCGATGCTTTAATGCCAAAAGCCTATATCTCTCGTCTTGTTTTACTTTGTAAAACAATGCTGTTCGCGCATTAGGCCTATTTGGAAGTTAATAAAATATTTTGGTAGCCTACAGACAGATTAGTCTTCTCTTTTCACCAGGAGCCATTTGCTTTCCAACCTGTGTTTTCCCGCTATTGTATTAGAAATATTTGGTAAGGCCTGTTTTGGCTGCATGCTGTTCACTGACAGATTTGCGGCGTGTTCCCGACTGTAGGCTATGTCTTGTGATTGGGCTACACACAATCCACAGCTAGGCAATAAAAAAATAAAACATATTGATCATCTGTGGCTAAATGTATAAGCCTCCTCCTGGTGTAGTATTCTGAATGTGTTAATTTCTTTCTGAACAGACAGCAGTAATTCTATAACTTTGGCAAATGTATTTAAATTGTTCAGGGGTGCTGCAGCACCTCCAGCCCAGTTATGAGGAAATAAATGAAGTTCAACGCTGGAGAGATGAGTTGCAGAGTGGAGAGAGATCATAGAAAGTGAATCTTATTCTAATTCTGTGAGAGATACAGGCACGCTAGTCTCTCACCGCAGCAACAGCCACGGGTTGGTCTCTAGGCAATGTTGCACAAACCATAAAACCAGGCCGGCCCAACCTGAATCAATTCTTAGAACATCAGGCGAGAGAATTACAGAGTAGGCAACTCAAATGAACTCTGATCGCTTTTATTAGAATGTGCTTTTATTAGAACGTTCCGGCAGGACCCGGCTCAAATTAAGCACGGACTTTATCATAACCTAAGGGTAATTCAATTATCTCGGTTGTTATTCCTTTCAGTTGAAACAACATTGAAAACATTACCTCTACACACTGATCAAGACACACACACCATTACGTAGTGAGTGTAAGTGGACAGGCCAGTTTAAACATGTTTTTATAGAGTGCCATACTGTATCATGGTCTATTAATGTTATATTCTTTAACTAGGTCTAAATGAACAGTCTGACATGCACCTTGCTAAAGTACACCTTTTTATTATTTTATTTTTTTGCTGTACTTTGAGACCGGAAATCATAACTGCTGAGACTTCAATCGTAGCATTGTGTCTACTAAGTTAAGGCCATGCTTTATATAGCTAGATTACTTTTTGTGCCATTTGATTCGCAATAAGCCACAATTGATTTCTGGCTTTAATGTTCCAGTCCACAAGATTTAGAGATTCCTCTGTGCTTAATGTAACTAATGCAATAAGGCCTACAGTTCACCACTGACGATGTCCAAGCCGTATCTCCTGAGAGTTGCAGGAGTGAGTCACATCACTTTACCACCCACCGTCAGCTGGTATCAAAAGAGCTGTAATTATTTGAATACCTTTCTTGCAGGTCACTATCAGATGGAAGCAAATATGGCAAGAAATGTCTAGTTACAGATTTTGCATACTGTTTTATTTATTTTAGTTTATATATACAATACCAGTCAAAAGTTTGGACACACCTACTCGTTCAAGGGATTTTCCATTAACTGTTACTGTTATTACTGTTTTCATTTTGTTATTAGTTTTTTTTAAACATTTTTTTTTACCTGAGCTACACACTTCCTCTGTTGTGATTACTAAATGAAATCATTTCCCTTTCTTTGGGGATCAAATATATTACCTCAGCCATGATTTTAGATGGTGTTCGTGCTCCTAAAAGCCTTAATTCTTGCAAATCATAGACTGTCCAAGAAGGCTTCAATCAGTAATCCTCATAAAAAGGACAAATATATTTGCTTTTTTTTGTGTAGGGTTTTCTGTTCGTGATAATCTGGGGACAATAACAAACAGCCACTTCTCTTTTGACTGTCTCCACAGCCTCTCCAACTTGGTGTCACTGGAACTCAGAGAGAACCTGCTGACATATTTACCAGAGTAAGTACTTCCCTAGATACAGTGCATTCAGAAAGTATTCAGACCCCTTCACTTTTTCCACATTTTGTTACGTTACAGCCTTATTGTAAAATGGTTGAAATAGTTTTTTCCCCCCTCATCAATCTACACACACTACCCTATAATGACAAAGCAAAAACAGGTTTTTAGAAATGTTAGCAAAAAAATAAACAGAAAACAGAAATATCACATTTTACATAAGTATTCAGACCCTTTACTCAGTACTTTGTTGAAGCACCTTTTGCAGCGATTACAGCCTTGAGTCTTCTTGGGTATGATGCTACAAACTTAGCACACTTGTATTTGGGGAGTTTCTCCTATTCTTCTCTGCAGATCCTCTCAAGCTCTGTCATGTTGGATGGGGAGCATAGCTGCACAGCTATTTTCAGGTCTCTCCAGAGATGTTTGATCGGGTTCAAGTCCGGGCTCTGGCTTGGCCACTCAAGGACATTCAGAGACTTGTCCCGAAGCCACTTCTGCATTGTCTTGGCTGTGTGCATAGGGTCGTTGTCCTGTTGGAAGGTGAATCTTCACCCCAGTCTGAGGTCCTGAGCGCTCTGGAGCAGGTTTTCATCAAGGATCACTTTGTACTTTGGTCCGTTCATCTTTCCTTCGATTCCGACTAGTCTCCCAGTCCCTGCCGCTGAAAAACATCCCCACAGCATGATGCTGCCACCACCATGATTCACCATAGGGATGGTGCCAGGTTTCCTCCAGACATGACGCTTGGCATTCAGGCCAAAGAGTTCAATTTTGGTTTCATCAGACAAGATAATCTTGTTTCTCATGGTCTTAGTCTTTAGGTGCCTTTTGGCAAACTCCAAGCGGGCTGTCATGTGCCTTTTTACTGAGGAGTGGCTTCCGTCTGGCCACTACCATAAAGGCCTGATTGGTGGAGTGCTGAAGAGATGGTTGACCTTCTGGAAGGTTCTCCCATCTCCACAGAGGAACTCTGGAGCTCTGTCAGAGTGACCATCGGGTTCTTGGTCACCTCCCTGACCAAGGCCCTTCTCCCCCGACTGCTCAGTTTGGCCAGGTGGCCAGCTCTAGGAAGTCTTGGTGGTTCCAAACTTCTTCCATTTAAGAATGATGGAGGCCACTGTGTTCTTGGGGATCTTCAATGCTGCAGAAATGTGTTGGTACCCTTCCCTAGATCTGTGCCTCGACACAATCCTGTCTCGGAGCTCTACAATTCCTTCGACCTCATGGCTTGGTTTTTGCTCTGACATGCACTGTCAACTGTGGGACCTAATATAGACAGGCGTGTTCCTTTCCAAATCATGTCCAATCAATTGAATTTACCACAGGTGGACTCCAAATTAAGTTGTAGAAACTTCTCAAGGATCATCAATAGAAACAGGATGCACCTGAGCTCAATTTCGAGTCTCATAACAAAGAGTTTGAATACTTATGTAAATAAGGTATTTCCGTTTTTGTTTTAATACATTTGCAAAAAATTCTAAACCTGTTTTTGCTTTGTTATTTTGGGGTGTTGTGTGTAGTTTGATGAGGAAAAACATGTATTTAATCAATTTTAGAATAAGGCTGTAACGTAACAAAATGTGGAAAAAGTGAAGGGGTCTGAATACTGTATGTTTCAGGGCAAATATTAATTGAAGGCACAAGACGACTAGGCCTACTTTATCAGTCCATCAGAGACGGAGATTGTTCTTTTGCCCTGCTCCCAACCCCCTAGACATCTGTGTTCCACAAATGCTCTGATAGTGCCACCCATTCCCCTGAAAAGGGATGACATGAAGTTAAGTCTGTGTGGCTACATTACAAGCATGTAGCCAATTAGACTGTGGGTAGACCACAGATGAAGCCTTATGTCTTTCACATGACATACATTATATACAAGATTATATTTAGACTTTAGAGTTGATATTGAACGCAGTGTGCTCTTTGAAGAGTTGTCTGTCTTCAGTCAATGCTCTACCAGGGTTCTCCTCAGGATTGTGTAACAAGGTGGTGTTGTTCAGTACACTGCCCCCCTTTTGGACTTTTTTAAAACACCTATAACTGCCATTTCCTGCAGTCTATAGCAAAACATTGCCTTATATGATGATAAATAAAGTTAAAAACAATATATTTGTTTTACATAGTAGCGCAACGCCTCACTTCCATTCTTTGGGGAGAACCCTGTAAACTTTTATGTTGGCACAACAACAGTCTCCTGCTGAATATTTAACCGTCTCACTGCTTGGTATGTGGCCAATACATTTTAACATGGTTAAAATTAAACAGCAGTGAAACAGACCTAGAATGAGAAGTAGATCAAATGTACATCCGTCACTGTATAATGTGTTTCTGTTGCAAAGTCTAGGCCTCTACAGTATGTCATGTTTTATCACATTTATAACGCCTCTTGTGCATTCCACAGGTCACTATCGCTACTTCACAGACTTGAAGAACTTGACCTAGGGAACAATGAAATTTACAATTTGGTGAGTTTATCTGACTTGTTTGCAAGTACACTTGATCTCAGTAAGGATGTTGATTTGTGGGGAGAACATTCAAACTGAAGAAAACAATGTGCCAAGCTAAACATGCAGAGAATGTGCAGCACTCAAATCTCACTCAACACTTTTCTTGTTATTACATTACATTTTAGTAATTTAGCAGACGCTCTTATCCAGAGCGACTTACAGTTAGTGCATACATTATGTGAAACATAATTGGGAGTACTGATACAGATACCTGTCTTATCATTTTGAAGGGGTAGTGTGACAGGGGCGTTTAGTTTTGACGTTATAGTCTGTTACAACAGAATGTCAGGTTTAATGTTTATGCAAAGGTAACTCTGAGACGGAGACAGTCCCTATGAGATGAACTGAAACCAGATCAGCCTAGGGAATGACAGTTTACACATGGTTGAAATTCTTCCTCAGTCACCTGTGTAAAAATTCTTCTTCTCCAAAAGCAACGAAAACGGTATCTCTACACAGGGCCGCGTCGGAGAGTCTACTATCTCGGTCTAGCGTAAGTAGATCCAGCCAAATAGGGATACGAGACGCGAGCGAGAGAGATAGGAGAGGACCTGCGGAGCTCTCGAGCGAGAGCGCGAGGAGAGAGAAGATAGCGAAGAGAGAGAGAGCGGAGAGAGGAGAGCTACGTGAGCGCGGAGAGAGCGATGAGAGACGAGGAGAGACGAGAGCGAGAGCGAGCGAAGAGAGAGCGAGCCTAGCGCGTAGAGAGAGAGCTAGAGCTATCTCTCTATCTCGCGCTATCTCTGCTCTCCTCTCTCTCTCTCTCTCTCTCTCTCTCTCTCTCTCTCTCTATCTCTCTCTCTCTCTCTCTCTCTTCTCCTCTCCTTTTTGGACCTCCCCAACCATGCTTCCTCCCCACGCAGCCTGAAACAATAGGCTGTCTTGTCAGCTTAAAGAACTTGTGGCTGGATGGAAACCAGTTGGCTGAAATACCTGCAGTAAGATATTTTAAAGATGTTTGCACTAATAATTTTATTTTTTTGCCTTAATATTGCAGTTGAACGTGGTTATGGTTTGATTCCCCAAAAAGTAAAAGGCTCCCACCCGTTTTAAAACATTGGATGTGCTTAAACTAAATTAATATTGCGACTTGTGTTGATATAATGCAATCACAAGAGATGCACCATTATTGTTAAGTGCTAACACGGACTGGGAAATGTATTTGTGGCCAAATGTATAATTGAAATGTGTTCAACCTGTAGGAGATAGGCAGCATGAAAAGCCTCCTGTGTCTAGACGTATCAGAGAACAAGCTGGAGCACCTTCCAGAGGAGATGGGTGGCCTGGTCTCCCTTACTGACCTGCTGGTGTCCCAGAACCTCATCGATGCTCTGCCAGAGGGCATAGGTCAGCACGCTACTGCACTCTACTCCACCATAGTGTCTGTGAGACGTTTGTGTGCATGCCATTTTTTTTTTTTATCTGTTCAGATTAACTTCCTGTTAATGCTCAGTTTACATTAATGTTAATCACAGTTTTGACCCAATCAGTATGGGTCAACATTCGTGACATGGTAAAACAAGTGACCAATAACAACCATGGTTTTACCAAAAAGGTTGAGGTTAATCACATGATAAAGAGTCCACATTTGGTAACATAACTGACTCAACACAGGTGATGTGGCCCTAGGGCACAATATAACGGATGAATGGAAAATGAAGTCATTAAATCCATTTAGCATTATTTTATGTTATATATATTTTTACAAATGTTAATTTTTTTTCCGATAAAAAAAAAAAGAAAAAAAAAGAAAACCGAGATACAAACATTGACATTCATTGTAGTGTTGAAAAGGAATCGCAAAATGTTATGTTTTATTAATCTGTAATATGTTGTTTCATTAGCCATAGCCCATAGGCTCTGGTGTTGGTGCCAATTAACTTACTTGTTTTATGAATGATATTGATTGCCATGCTATCCTGACTACCCTCATGTATATGTCTGCATCACAGTAAGTAACACTTTTTCTTTTTTGTTCTACAGGAAAACTAAGGCGACTGTCTATATTGAAAGCAGACCAGAATCGTCTTGCCCAGCTGCCAGAGAGCATTGGCAACTGTGAGAGTCTCACTGAACTGATGCTCACAGAGAATCAGTTACAGGTGGGTTTTTGATAGCGCTGTACTTCCTCGTATATACAGTGGGGAGAACAAGTATTTGATACACTGCCGATTTTGCAGGTTGTCCTACTTACAAAGAATGTAGAGGTCTGTAATTTTTATCATAGGTACACTACAACTGTGAGAGACGGAATCTAAAACAAAAATCCAGAAAATCACATTGTATGATTTTTAAGTAGTGAATTTGCATTTTATTGCGTGACATAAGTATTTGATACATCAGAAAAGCAGAACTTAATATTTTGTACAGAAACTTTTGTTTGCAATTACAGAGATCATACGTTTCTTGTAGGTCTTGACCAGGTTTGCACACACTGCAGCAGGGATTTGGCCCACTCCTCCATACAGACCTTCTCCAGATCCTTCAGGTTTCGGGGCTGTCGCTGGGCAATACGGACTTTCAGCTCCCTCCAAAGATTTTCTATTGGATTCAGGTCTGGAGACTGGCTAGGCCACTCCAGGACCTTGAGATGCTTCTTACGGAGCCACTCCTTAGTTGCCCTGGCTGTGTGTTTCGGGTCGTTGTCATGCTGGAAGACCCAGCCATGACCCATCTTCAATGCTCTTACTGAGGGAAGGAGGTTGTTGGCCAAGATCTCGCGATACATGGCCCCATCCATCCTCCCCTCAATACGGTGCAGTCGTTCTGTCCCCTTTGCAGAAAAGCATCCCCAAAGAATGATGTTTCCACCTCCATGCTTCACGGTTGGGATGGTGTTCTTGGGGTTGTACTCATCCTTCTTCTTCCTCCAAACACGGCGAGTGGAGTTTAGACCAAAAAGCTCTATTTTTGTCTCATCAGACCACATGACCTTCTCCCATTCCTCCTCTGGATCATCCAGATGGTCATTGGCAAACTTCAGACGGGCCTGGACATGCGCTGGCTTGAGCAGGGGGACCTTGCGTGCGCTGCAGGATTTTAATCCATGACAGCATAGTGTGTTACTAATGGTTTTCTTTGAGACTGTGGTCCCAGCTCTCTTCAGGTCATTGACCAGGTCCTGCCGTGTAGTTCTGGGCTTATCCCTCACCTTCCTCATGATCATTGATGCCCCACGAGGTGAGATCTTGCATGGAGCCCCAGGCCGAGGGTGATTGACCGTCATCTTGAACTTCTTCAATTTTCTAATAATTGCGCCAACAGTTGTTGCCTTCTCACCAAGCTGCTTGCCTATTGTCCTGTAGCCCATCCCAGCCTTGTGCAGGTCTACAATTTTTTCCCTGATGTCCTTACACAGCTATCTGGTCTTGGCCATTGTGTAGAGGTTGGAGTCTGTTTGATTGAGTGTGTGGACAGGTATATTTTTATACAGGTAACGAGTTCAAACAGGTGCAGTTAATACAGGTAATGAGTGGAGAACAGGAGGGCTTCTTCTGGATTTTAGTTTTAGATTCCGTCTCTCACAGTTGAAGTGTACCTATGATAAAGATTACAGACCTCTACATGCTTTGTAAGTAGCAAAAACCTGCAAAATCGGCAGTGTATCAAATACTTGTTCTCCCCACTGTACATATTGTTGTGAGGGCAGGTTTGATAACTTAGACCGAATTACTTTTTATTTTATGTAATCGAAATCAAAAGACACAACTGTTTCAGCCAACAACAAGCATATCAATTTATGTGCTAACAAGGTCAAAACATTGTGTCCTCTTTTGCTACTGTTGATTTCTACAGTACTAATTACCCACCTCTGATGGCTGTACTCTTCTGTCCTTGGAAAGACCTTGTGACCTACAGTACAGCAGGACACATTTATTTTTCGTTCTGAAGGGATGCATCTCCTGTTATCTTGTAACCTTTGACCTTTGTTATGCCCTTGGTCTTCACTTCCTAATATGCTAAAAACATCTAAGTGTGCGCCAGGGACTTATCCTCACTTTGGCACTAACCAATTAGATTTGTTTATTTCATCCTGACAGTAGAACTGTTCAAGTAATCCCCATGCTGGGCCACAAGCCAGTCAAGTGTCACTGCAATAACCATTATTGTATGTGCAAAATCTAGATGTTGAATTCATTATTTCTTACTGATCATTTCCCTCTTTAGAGTTTGCCAAGAAGTATTGGAAAACTAAAGAGACTCTCCAACTTCAACTGTGATAGAAACCGACTAGCGTCATTACCAAAAGAGGTATGCTATGGTCTTTCCACATGTAGTCCTTTGAAGCAAATAAGTATTGTGAGACTTGTTGATGAATGTTAGGTCCTTCCTGCTTCAAAGGGCACCACAGTCCATAGTCTACTGTATTATGGGCTAAGCTGTTGTTATCTTGGCTTTATCTTGTACATGCTTTATGTTATGAGGACATGATGCCTCTTCATTTCAGTTTATTTCTGTGATAAAATAAAAAGGGCTTGTTTGATGGCTCAGAAAGTTTGACTCATCTTCCTTTTGTGATTTTGCAATATATATCACATTTGTGATGCAGCAGTGAAGTTGCTCCATAGTACATTGATTTACAACACAGTTCTTGTATTATATGAATGAGTGCGCTGTATAGACTGGATCAAAAAGCAATTTGTCCCCTTGCTGCTATGAGGCACTTTTTTTGTATTATTTCAAACCAACGGTCACTTTCTAAAATTGGCAGAACATGTTTCCTAGCTCTGCTGTATAATTATTTTTTCCCCCACCTGTTTGTCTTCAATTTAGACACAGGAAATGTACTTATGTGTTTTTTCTTTTTGTTACTGCATGTGTGAGGGAACTGTGTCTAATTGCATGTAATGCTAAGCTAACCATTTTACCCTAAGCAAAATGCTTGTGCATGCTCAGTCTGAACATGCTCAGAAAAGTCTAACGTAAACCTTGATCGCATCTCATTTTGCCTCCGTGATTTACCCTGCTGCTCGGAACAATGATGTAAAATCATAGAAGCCTCAGTCAAGAGTAAATGGAATCCGGTTAGTGCCTCCCCCAGTGATCACTGTATGATTTGCATGCAGAACCTTTCTGCGCTAGACCTGACCCCCTCTGGTTTTAATGGGTATTGTGAAATGCTAATCCTCATACCTGCTAACCAGGAAATCTAGTTTCTGTGAGCTGAATCTCATTCAGTAGAAAAAAATGCAGTATGCCACTGTGGTACTATGCAGACCAATGTAAATTATCAGATCGACCTGGAGAACTCTCACAGTCACAAAGGCCATCTCCCACTGTGACTGTCTTCACCAAGGACATGGCTGTGCCACTCGTCATTCTCTGCATGTGACTGTCTGTACAGCAGCAGCTGCATGATTTTAGCTCTCAGGCTGGTGGCATGCTGTCTTTTGTTTCCAGGAGATTCAAGCACAGACAAAGCAAGCACACACTGTTTTTCCACAGACAAAGCAAGCACACACTGTTTTTCCACAGACAAAGCAAGCACATACTGTTTTTCCACAGACAAAGCAAGCACACACTTTTTCCACAGACAAAGCAAGCAGTGCCTGTTCCCCCCCCATCCATTTATTTTCTATTATCTTATGCAGTTCTCGGGTATGTTCAGCTATGGTTTATTGTCCCAGAGTGCCTGCTGTGTGTGTGAGAGCGACATACTTGTTTATTCTAGCCTCTTGTCTGTTAGAGAGAAGGCAAGTTCCCTCTGGTTAAATCTTCATCTGAAAGGGCCCTTTAGTGATTATACAATGCCTCTGTGTCTCAGTGACGCAAACGGTTCAGTGTGTGAGTCCACAGCACTTGGCCCAGATAATGAACTGATAGCGTCATTGTATTGTGTCTAACCGTGAATGCTGCATGACGTTTGTAACAGTAACAGTAGCCCTAGTACTAGACGAGCACTTGTTTAGCACAATACAGTGGTGTAGCTATGTTGTTGTTTTAAATCAATATTCATGACTCATTGATAATTGGCTGAACCTTGGCTTATTTCCATTTTAATGCAAGTATGTTAACAAGGTATTTCACACTATTTCATATTCATTTAGTGTTGACCCCCCCCCCCCCCCCCCCAAAAAAAAAAAATAGTCTGCAATTTGTTCATATTTGCAATGCACAATTCTATTGAATAGTATTTACTAAGGAAGATCTCCATAGACAACATATCCGGTATTGATGTTGTTTGAGCGTGGGCCCATGCATGCAGTTGTTTGTATAGCCTACTTCAGAGGTAATGGCTTTGAGTAGAACCCGTGTGTAGCCTACTAACTGGAGTTCCTGCTGATATTTGGACTCCTCTTCTAGGCACCTCCTTGAAGTCCTCTTATTTACTCCAGTGAGGGCTTCAGCTTAGCCAGATCCTTTTAACATGATGAGACTGTTTGGTTCCTGTTCAGGTCTGTCTGGCCACTGACTGATTTAGTTAGTAGATTACAGTCTGACTATAGCGCTTCAGCTGGCCCTACTTTAACACGCTAATTTCAGCTAATTTTAGCTCCTACTATGCCAAACTCCATAGCCATTCAATACATTTTAGTAATTTAGCAGACGCTCTTATCCAGAGCGACTTACAGTAGTGAGTGCATACATTTTCAAATTGTTTATGCTATTCCCCTGTGGGAATCGAACCCACAACCCTGGAGTTGCAAGCGCCATGCTCTACCAACTGAGCTACACGGGACTGGCTATGCCCATTTCTGTGTCAAAGCTCCCAAATGCTCTCAATGGTTTACCTTTCTATGCCCATTACACTAAATTGATATTTTGAACAATAAAGGTATACACACAGTATATTTTTCTGTGATTTCGAAATGGGAAAGTGAAAATTTACTTAAAATTTTAATTTTACGTAAATTGTTCTAACCAAAGCCTTTTCCCTCCATTCCTCACTGCTCAAGATGTCTGTGTGCCTCAAAGAACACAGAACACCTTCTCTGTTCGTATATGTAATTGTGTGGGGGTGTTTGTCTTGTTTGTATGTCTTTCCTTCCCTGATCCAGATTGGAGGTTGCTGTAGCCTGAATGTCTTCTGTGTACGAGAGAACAGGCTTACAAGGATTCCCTCTGAGATCTCTCAGGCCTCAGAGCTGCATGTGTTTGATGTCTCTGGAAATAGGTAGGCTGCATAAAAATTCAATGGCACTTTGTTAACCCTTTGATCATACACACATTATATCATATACATTATTTACATTTTATTATACATCAGACCAAGTAAAGCTTTTAGATGTGACAGGTGCTCACAGTAAATCATAATATTTGACACCAACATACTCGTTCTTAGCTGTCCACAAATCAATCAGGGTCACAAAACATATTGCAATATTCTCTGAAGCCTGTCTATATCATGTCATCGTCTCTCTCCAGACTGCTCCACCTACCCGTATCTCTGACCACGCTGCGACTCAAGGCCCTGTGGCTGTCAGAGAACCAGTCCCAGCCTCTGCTCACCTTCCAGAATGACATAGACCCAGAGTCTGGGGAAAAGGTGCTCACCTGTGTTCTCCTGCCCCAGCAGCCTTTAGAACCAGACAGTAAAGGTAAGGGCTTCTCAAGGGCTTCCAACTCAGTGGCCTTGTGGTTGGAGTGTCCACCCTGAGATTGGAAAGTTGGGAGTTCGATCCCCGGCCGAGTCATACCAAAGACTGTAAAAATGTGACCCGATGTGTGTCTGCTTGGCACTCAGTATTAAGGAGGTAGATTAGGGGTAAGGCCTACGATAGACTAGCGCCCTGTCCAGGGGGTGTACTTGTACATCAAGCTGCCTCGCGCTACAGAAACAGGAGATCTGCTCCTATGAGTCGTTCCACTTCGCACAATCCAAGGCTCGTGCAAGGCTACTTACCCTCGGTCTGGCTTGGCTTGGTTTTGCTGGCATATTGGCTCAGTCGATTCCCTGTACCAGACCAATGCCTACTTCTCACTTAAAACATGTGTTTTTGTTTTTAATTTCCATGGTTTTTACACCGGAAGGGGATTTTCTGTTAAAGGTGCATTATACAACATTTCCACATGCAAAGCCTGATTCTTCTTCTTATTTTTTATAACTAAAAGGCTGTCATTGGCAGTGATATTGTAACCTGTAATGCGGCCTCTTACAAGAGTTCTGGAACTTAATAGCACAGGTGGTGTGTTTGCATAACTGCAAGGGTTGCTGGTTTAAAACTTAGTCTGTTGGCTGTTGCCATTTTTAATAGCTCAAATCAGTTTAGAACTAACTATTAAAGTACACTATATATACAAAAGTATGTGGACACCCCTTCAAACTAGTGGATTCGGCTATTTCAGCCACACCCGTTGCTGACAAGTGTATAAAATTGAGCACACAGCCATGCAATCTCCATAGACAAACAGTAGAACGGCCTTACTAAAGAGCTCAGTGACTTTCAACGTGTCACCGTCATAGGATGCCACCTTTCCAACAAGTCAGTTTGTCAAATTTCTGCCCTGCTAGAGCTGCCCCGGTCAACTGTAAGTGCTGTTATTGTGAAGTGGAATCGTCTAGGAGAAACAACAGCTCAGACGCGAAGTGGTAGGCCACACAAGCTCACAGAACGGGACCGCTGAGTTCTGAAGCGTGTAAAGATCACCTGTCCTCGGTTGCAACACTCACTACCGAGTTCCAAACTGCTTCTGGAAGCAACATCAGCACAATAACTGTTCGTCAGGAGCTTTATGAAATGGGTTTCCATGGCCGAGCAGCCGCATACAAGCCTAAGATCACCATGCGCAATGCCAAGCGTCGGCTGGAGTGGTGTAAAGCTTGCCGCCATTGGACTCTGGAGCAGTGGAAATGTGTACTCTGGAGTGATGAATCATGCTTCACCATCTGGCAGTCCGACGGACCCTATCTGGGTTTGGCGGATGCCAGGAGAACATTTCTAACAGCAAATAAACACATTTATAGTGGCAAATTAACACATTTCTAGCGGCAAATGTGTTAAAATTATAGCCATGGTATAAAAGGGATAATCAACTCGTGCTCTATGCGTTCTCTGGAAGATAATGCAACTCCTTAGGTCAGTTCGACTCCGCTAACGCGTCGTGGAACACACCTCCCACGTCGTTCATTATTTTCCATAGAACACATAGCCCCTCGCTGATTATCCCTTACATATAGGATGAATAATTCAGCAACGCTTTAGGCTAGATACAAGCTGTAAAAGGCACAAGAAAGATGCGGCTCTAGTGTAATGGGGATATCTTTGTTTAGTCTGTATGGCTGAGTTATACGACCTTCAAAAGTCAATTACTTAAAACCGTTTTCTTTTACCTTGCTTTCAATGGGAATTGAGTCATAATTGAGCTATTCACCTTCTGAAAACTGCAAAGAGTTAGTTTTGACTATCCACGGTCAATTCTACACACACTGTAGCTACAGTAGTTGCCATGTTAACCAAACCATCAGTCCTAGCTTGCCATTATGGAAATCTAATTCAACAATGGCAATAATGTTTTCAATTTGTCTTTTGCTTTCAAAAGCAGCTCAAACATAGAACATGTAAGCATGAACTATAGCCATTGAATTCTACTGTGCAAATATACAGTGCGTTATAGGGAAATAATGCATGCTCTAGAATGCCCTTCAAGCCAATCAGAAACAAGTATTCAGCAATGCCATGGTATAAATGTATTTATAAACTGGGTGGTTCTAGCCCTGAATGCTGATTGGCTGAAAGCCGTGGTATATCAGACCGTATACCATGGGTATGACAAAACAAGCAACTAAAAGCAACTTTCTAAACAATGTTTTGGTTAGTTTCTAGCTTGTTAGCTAGCTAGCTAATGTTAAGTTAGCTGGCTAGCCAGTTCAAATAATGACCATATCATATAGCTGACAACGTCTTCACTTTAGCTTATTTTTCTTAATTATTACAGGAAAATAAACTCACAACAAGATCCTTATTTACAAGTTAATGGTGAGGCAATTACAGAAAATAGTTTACGGTTGTGAGTGTGACGAAATAAAAGCAGGGCATTCTACCAGAGAATTTTAGAACTTGGACACTGTCTCGTTGGCCTAACGTTATATCCTAATTAGACTTTGGTGCAGGTCATGTTCTTCACATTACCGTCTCTGGTTAACACATACTATATCAAATAAAATCTGTTTTTTTGTCACATGCACAGGATACAGAAAGTGTAGTGAAATGGTTACTTGCATAGTAGAGTCTTTTTGTTTAGACATGTAGCTAGCTAGCTAAACAATTAACCATAATCACAACTCCTAACGTTACTACCCTGCATGAATCTGCAGGTAGCTAACCAACCAGGTTCAATGTTTGCCTAAAGTTAGCTAGCTAGCTATAACTAGCAATGCAAATGGCTCTGAGATACGAATAATATTACTACACAGATCATACACGTAACGTTAGCTAGTGAGCCAGACAGCTAATGTTAGCTATCTAGCTAACAGTACACTTTAACTTGAAATAAAAATGACTTTCTGAATAAATTAGAAATGTATAATATCTGAAAATGGAGCTAGCTAGACTATCTTACCCTTATACATGGATGGATGCTTCTCCCTCTCTGTCACGGATGCCCTGGTCGCCCTTAGTTTGAAGATGTAATCCGGAGACGGGTGTTTTATACAACAGCCTTCTGTGTGTTCTCTTTTCGACTCTCTGCATATTTGCAATCAAACGCCATAATTTTCTCAGTCTCCTTAGCTGTCATTCTCTAATTCCACCGGGCATTCCACTGATTTCAAAACTCGAGAGGAACACTTTTGCAGTTCTACTACGTGATATCTTTCAAAAAAGCCGCATTAGAAATGATTACCTACACATACTGACCAGCTCATGTTATAGACAGAAGTGTGCTACAAGGCAGACCAATCTGAACTCATCTCTCGGCATGTCCAGCCCACTCATTAACTCAGCCGATCATGGCTAGCGGGAAGATTCCTGTCTTTTTCCGTGGCTAAACCAACTAGGCTTGTAATTTTAACCATTTTATTTGTATTTACAGATGTCATACGTCTGTTATTAAGGCAAATGAAAGTTCACATGTTCAAGAAGGCATTTCTGCCCCCCAAAAAATTTTGATTAAAAAAAATAAGTTTACGTTCAACTGCTTGTGAAGTTGTGATGCGCGACATACACCTAGTTTCCTGAAAGGAGTCACATTATCATCACAGCAGTTACTTGTATGTACCGGTATGTTAGCTAGCTACCTAACGTTAGTTGGCTACTAATACATCGAACTTGACAGTTTATTAACTATATGCTATCTAACAACTACCCAACGTTTATTGACTTGATTATTCACGTCATGCTTAGCTAAGTGGCATAGTTGTTGTTCCTTGTCAATGGACATTGTTAATGAAGTTGTAACACATCTAGCTAGTCATTTGATATGCTAACCATCTAGCAAGAAGTTGCATAGCAACAGCATCAACTTCCTTTAGACAGGCGACGCGCTAGTACACTCAACTGAAAGGATACCGTTTGTTTACAGTATACTAAAATGATCTTGTAGTATATAGTCGTTAAGTATGTAGTATACAGTATGTTGGTATGGGTTTTCGAACACAGCTATAGACTTATGACTGGCAGCCTGGTGCAGCAGCTGTGTTGTTGCTGAACAACCAAGTTGCTCGACCCCGGTGTTAGAACTCTGAGCTTCGGCTGAAAAATATATTAGCAATGTCATAAATACTACATAAATGTAGCACATCGTTGGTTCTCTATTGGCACGTGGGGGCGATAAATTATACATTTAATCAAAACTGTTGTCCCTACAAACTTCTTATTAATTCCGAAAGGTGGCAAGTCTAATGGTCACTTTATGGACGCTGTAGTCTTGTTCTGATCCGATACCTAGATATTGTGCTAGGTCGGAACTTCTTTTTTTTTTCATGCTCACGACTATGTTAAAAATCGGGTATGTGGTTCTCGTAATGGCCGGACGGCTCCAATCAAGGTGATTTGCAAATTGTCATAGACATTGGTGTCATATTGGCTTAGATATGATGGTAAGGAGATTTGAATTGAACATTGAGCTTCAACTATTGTGACGCCGGCGAATCCTACAAGCATTAGATTCTCTCTAAGTGCCTCGTGGTTTTGATCATGTTATCACATGATCTGCACGGAGGAGCACACAGTGTCCTGCATCCCTGCGTCTCTGATCCATCGCTGTATTGATTTAGATTAAGAGGGGCCAGCTGGGATCACAGAACCTATAACTAGAGCCCTGCATGGGAGAATTTTAAGGCCTACCCATGCCCGCAACGTTCATGCCCTACCCATGCCCGCAACGTTCAGGCCCTACCCTACCCATGCCCACAACGTTCAGGCCCTACCCATGCCCACAACATTCAGGCCCTACCCTACCCATGCCCACAACGTTCAGGCCCTACCCTACCCATGCCCACAACATTCAGGCCCTACCCTACCCATGCCCGCAACGTTCAGGCCCTACCCTACCCATGCCCACAACGTTCAGGCCCTACCCTACCCAGGCTCGATTGCCTCTGCGCTGGCCGAAATCAGAAATAACTTCCTCCGTTAGTATCCCTGCGCTGCTCGTGCTGCATGCGCTCTGTGCATGGCTCTGCATGTGTGAGTATCCATAGCAACGCCCCTTCTTGCTGTTCTGTTCAATGACGAGACAGAGCAGTTAGCTGTAAACTAGCTACTTTTCATCACTGTAAACTCAGACAACTCATAAAACATTATTATTTTCGCTAAAATAATCTCTCCCGTGGACTCAAACAATGTTCTGGTCTTATATTTGACGAGGTTGAAGCACTTCTGACATCATGATATGTACTGCGCAGCAGAGCATGAGCAAATGGCTCAGCTTCAAAATGTTAATCAATTTATTGATACCCGAGCCCTTCCCGAACCCTAGTTATTGATTTAAAAAACGGCCCCAACTGGCCCAAACCCAATGTATAATGTAGGGGCCCATCGGGCTAGGGTCGGGTAGCAGAGCTGACCTGTAACCGTTCTGGTTCTTGGCATACGCTGCCCCCCCCCCCCCCCTCCCCTTTTACTCCAGTGGATTGGACAACTAAAGAAGCTTAGCCCCTGACTGGCCTGCAGCCATTAAAAGCTTGCTGGGTGAAGTGAGGAGAGGCTTGCTCACTCACTCAGCTGAGTCCTGGAATAATCTAGGCCTGATCCAATTGTTGATTGTGATTATTTTTTTGCAATCTCCACAACCTGGTTGCAGCACCCATATGTCATCTTTCTGATCTGATTCATTTAATTACAGCGTGTGCTCCTTGTTATGACCTTCCCCCTTTAGTAATCTCTGATTTCTCTCGGAATGAGAGGACTAAATGTTTATGTTCATTTCTGTAACCCTCGTTCACTTGCTGAGCAGCAGATGAGGATCTAAGACTGTGAAGGTCAAGTCTGTGAGCGGGGGGCGGGGGTGGAGATTGTTTAGCTGTAAGCTTGTGACTAAGCTGGGATTTGAAACTGTGATCTACCCGGTTCCAAGCTCTCATTTATGAGCATTGTGTCACAAGCTGCACAAACTCTCAGCACTGTGTCATGGGGGGGGGGGTTGCAGAATGAGAGGTGCAAACACGTCATACCAAACGTATACGCAGAATGAGAGGAGCAAACACGTCATACCAAACGTATACGCAGAATGAGAGGAGCAAACACGTCATACCAAACGTATACGCAGAATGAGAGGAGCAAACACGTCATACCAAACGTATACGCAGAATGAGAGGAGCAAACACGTCATACCAAACGTATACGCAGAATGATAGGAGCAAACACGTCATACCAAACGTATACGCAGAATGAGAGGAGCAAACACGTCATACCAAACGTATACATTTTAATCTGTTGAATTAAGGCCTACATTGTCCGAATGTGGTAGTTTTCACATAGGTCTTACATTTCATGGTGCACGTCATTTTGAAAAGCCAATTATTGCTTAAAATGTAAATGATTAATATCCTCTCACAAGCATACAGTTGAAGTCGGAAATTGACATACACCTTAGCCAAATACATTTAAACTCAGTTTTTCACAATTCCTGACATTTAATCCTAGTAAATATTCCCTGTCTTAGGTCAGTTAGGATCACCACTTTATTTTAAGAATGTGAAATGTCAGGATAATAGTAGAGAATGACTTGGAGAAGATCTGCAAAGAGGAGTGGGACAAAATCCCTCCTGAGATGTGTGCAAACCTGGTGGCCAACTACAAGAAACGTCTGACCTCTGTGATTGCCAACAAGGGTTTTGCCACCAAGTACTAAGTCATGTTTTGCAGAGGGGTCAAATACTTATTTCCCTCATTAAAATGCAAATCAATTTATAACATTTTTGACATGCGTTTTTCTGGATTTTTTTGTTGTTATTCTGTCTCACTGTTCAAATAAACCTACCATTAAATTTATAGACTGATCATTTCTTTGTCAGTGGGCAAACGTACAAAATCAGCAGGGGATCAAATACTTTTTTCCCTCACTGTAGATGTCCTAACCGACTTGCCAAAAGTATAGTTTGTTAACAAGAAATGTGTGGTGTGGTTGAAAAACGAGTTTTAATGATTCCAACCTAAGTGTATGTAAACTTCCGACTTCAACTGTATGTAATGTATCCTGTTTTAGGCTTAGACAACCTGGCTCGCTGCGGTGCTCTGGAGAGCCTGGTGAATGACATGGTGGATGACACCTGGGACGACAAGGCCATGAAGAGGATCAGTGCCATCCACTTCCTGGATGATAACGATGATGAGGATGATGAAAAGGTGAGATGAAGGACGATAAGTGTGTGGAGAGAGGAGCATGTGAAAGGGAATGACAGGAGGCGATGGGGTAGAAAAGACTGAGGTTGTTTGAAACGTCATAACTGTCACAAGGGTCGTTTGAAAAATCAAAACTGTCACCACTCACAATGGTTGTTTGAAAAGTCAAAACTGGCGCGGCGCCAATCACTAAACAAAGAAAGAATAGAGATGCCGCTTGAATTAATGTTCAACTAATATAAAGCCATGATCATCGTTGAGTCCCTTAACTGGTTGAAAACTAGGTTTAATCTTTCAGATCTTTTGAATTATGTCCAAGTATACAAAACATTAAGAACAGCTGCTCTTTCCATGACATAGACTGTGGTCAACCTTGTCCGGATGTGGTAGTTTTCACATCTTACATTTCATGCATGCATTTAAGCGTCATTTTGAAAAGCCAATTATTGCTTAAAATGTAAATTATTAATATCCTCTCACAAGCATACAGTTGAAGTCGGAAGTTTACATACACCTTGTGGTCCTCTGTAGCTCAATTGGTAGAGCATGGCGCTTGTAACGCCAGGGTAGTGGGTTCGATCCCCGGGACCACCCAATATTATTTATTATTATTATTATTGTTATTATTATTACAGACTGACCTGGTGAATCCAGGTGAAGGCTATTATTCCTTATTGATGTCACTTGTTAAATCCACTTCAATCAGTGTAGATGAAGGTGAGGAGACAGGTTAAATAATGATTTTTAAGCCTTGAGACATGACTTGTGTATGTGTGCCATTCAAAAGGTGAACGGGCAAGACAAAATATTTAAGTGCCTTTGTACGGGATATGGTAGAAGGTGCCAGGTGCGCCGGTTTGTGTCAAGAACTGCAATGCTGCTGGGTTTTTCACGCTCAACAGTTTCCCATGTGTATCAAGAAAGGTCTGCATCCAGCTAACTTGACACAACTGTGGGAAGCATTAGTCAACATGGGCCAGCATCCCTGTGGAATGCTTTCGACACCTTGTAGTCCATGCCCTGACAAATTGAGGCTTTTTTGAGGGCATTTACATAGTGTATTTATCTATGTACTCTATGTAACATATTATATACAGTGCCTTCGGAAAGTATTGACCCCTTGACTGTTTCCACATTTTGTTACGTTACAGCTTTATTCTAAAATTGATTAAATATTTTTTTTATTTAATCCATTTTAGAATAAGGCTGTAACGTTACAAAATGGGGAGGAAGGGGTCTGAATACTTTCCGAATGCACTGTAATGCACGGCATAATGAGAGACCTGTTGTAGAATCTGTCCGTCTCTCTATTTGTCTCTTCACTGTCCCTCTGTCTCCTCCCCACAGGGAAGGCTGATGCGACAGGCCACTCCTCACCCAGGCGAGCTGAAGACTATGAAGAAAGCGGTGGAGAACCTCCGCAAAGACCTGAACGCTGCCAAAGCCCTGGATTCCAACAAAAACGAGGTCAATAACGCTACAGTCACCACGTCTGTGTGACTTCTACCTCAGAAACATTCTGATCTCCTGTGTCTTTCGCCATGTTCTCCTACCCCCTCTGCAGCCTACCTATCTCTCCTGTGGCTCAACCCTGGGACTCTGCTGTGATCCTCTTGTCCAGTACCTTACTTAATCTCCAATACCCACCATGGTATCTGGCTCATACTACCAGGGCCCATGTGCCTTCTTTTCAAACTGTTGTGCTATATTTTTTAACATAGCAATAATCTGCACAGGTGTGGTCCTTTTCAAAGATATTTTTAAAATATAGTGCTTTTTAAAGATTTATTTCTACATTTAAAAAAATATGGACAATAGGTAGTTGCACTACTGTAAGTCTTTAGTATATTAAATATTGTTGACATCTTCATAAATATGATATATATATATTTGTTCTATTTTTTTTTTTTTTAGAACACAGGGTGAATTTTTATTGTAGAAAATTTGGGGATACTTAAAACCGAGGAGTGTTTTTCACCTACTGATTTAAGGATTATTGTATAGTCATTTGTGAATATTGATACTTTTATACTTTTTGGCAGCTCAGATGGTGTACATTTAAAACAATGTATAGCAAGTTTCTTAATCTATCGCAGAATTTTTTTTAAACGTTATAACTTGGTACCTATTTTATTTCCTTTTAAGTATTTTCCTTTTTAGTAAAGAAATGAACAAAAATGCAGTTGCTAATGTCTTATCGAAACAATGTAATTGTCTTTGGGTGAGTAGACAGCCTCAAATCTTTTCTACGCCATTGTTTAACTTCTTTATCAAATCCTAAACTCATTTTGATATAGACACGTTTTGTAATTTAGTAATTAAGGGCTGATAATGAGGAACATGTACCTTAACCACTCTCCCACAACAGATTGAGTGGAAGTGACAGGGCTGTCTTACTTTCTTTTATTGCGCTTTACTGCGTTGAAATGTTTTCTTAAATAGATACTGGGCGGCAGGTAACCTAGCGGTTAAGAGTGTTGGGCCAGTAACCTAAAGGTCACTGGTTCGAATCGCTGAGCCGACTAGGGAATAAAATCTGTCGATGTGACCTTGAGCAAGGCACTTAACCCTAATTGCTCCTGTAAGTCGCTCTGGATAAGAGCGTCTGCTCAATGACAAAAATGTAAAAAATGTAAATACTTTATCAGAAACTGCTGAATTTCTCGATGCGTCTCTTTCTCTTCAACACATGAGCATTGGACTTTCATTGGCCAATTTCATTACATGCAAGGAAATGAGGACCAGGGTGGAACCTTTTGGAAAATGCAGTTGTGTGAGCATGGACTCATGCACTTCTTAAAGTTTTTTGCATCTTAATAAAAATGGTTTGTTGTTCAAATGGTACACTACAACAAGATTTTACTTTTTTGTTTTAATTGTATTACCAGGAGAGGACCATATACATTTGTTTTAATGTTGATTTTATCTTTTATTTTTAAATTATTTTATTTTGTGATTAAGCTGCACAAAAACACAATCTCAAATAGGCACGGACACTGAGCCTACAGATTTTGATGACTTTTACCACTGATAAAATAAAAGGGGTTTAAAACTAAACATGATTCGTTATTCCTTAAACTTTTTTGTCCATTTGCCTTTTAGTGTTTCAGCCTTTAGTCCTCTATGAAAAATTTAGACCTTTATGTTTTCACCATCTCACAATTGTTAACATGTCTCATACTGTAACTTAACATGTCAAATCATAAACGCCATATATAAAGACGTGTTTTGTGTTCACGCCACGCATGTCCGTTATCATTGATTATGCAATAAAATATGTATTTACCATTAACATTGGATTAGATTTAATTAGATTACACTTTAAAGGAAATCACTCTCATACTTTGTTTTGTCATCGCCCATTTGATAAGAGCTCATCAGGGTGGTCATTCATATACATCAATCATTTTCCATCACCCATTCATCTCCTGTTCTGTCTATCCAGGCTTGTGTTGCATGACTTGTGTGTGTATACAGTGCATTCGGAAAGTATTCAGACCACTTGACTTTTTCCACATTTTGTTACGTTACAGCCTTATTCAAAAATTTATTAAATTAATTTTTTTCCCTCATCTATCTTCACACAATACCCCATAATGACAAAGCGAAAACAGTTTTTTTGAAATGTTTGCTAATGTATAAAAAACTAAAACAAACACTTTATTTACATAAGTATTCAGACCCTTTGCTATGAGACTCGAAATTGAGCTCAGGTGCATCCTGTTTCCATTGATGATCCTTGAGATGTTTCTACAACTTGATTGGAGTCCACCTGTGGTAAATTCAATTGATTGCACATGATTTGGAAAGGCACACACCTGTCTATATAAGGTCCCACAGTTGACAGTGCATGTCGGAGCAAAAACCAAGCCATGAGGTCAAAGTAATTGTCCGTAGAGCTCCGAGACAGGATTGTGTCGAGGCACAGATCTGGGGAAGGGTACCAAAACATTTCTGCAGCATTGAAGGTGCCCAAGAACACAGTGGCAGAAGTTTGGAAACCACCAAGACTCTTCCAAGAGCTGGCCGCCCAGCCAAACTGAGCAATCAGGAGAGAAGGGCCTTGGTCAGGGAGGTTACCAAGAACCCAATGGTCACTCTGACAGAGCTCCAGAGTTCCTCTGTGGAGATGGGATAACCTTCCAGAAGGACAACCATATCTGCAGCACTCCACCAATCAGGCCTTTATGGTAGATTGGCCAGACCATGAGAAACAAAATTCTCTGGTCTGATGAAAACAAGATTAAACTCTTTGGCCTGAATGCCAAGCGTCACGTCTGGAGGAAACCTGGCACCATCCCTACGGTGAAGCATGGTGGTGGCAGCATCAAGCTGTGGGGATGTTTTTCAGCAGACTGGGAGACTAGTCAGGATCGAGGCAAAGATGAACGGAGCCAAATACTGAGAGATCCTTGATTAAAACCTGCTCCAGAACGCTCAGGACCTCAGACTGGGCGAAGGTTCACCTTTCAACAGGACAACGACCCTAAGCACACAGCCAAGACAATGCAGGAGTGGCTTCGGGACAAGTCTCAATGTACTAGAGTGGCCCAGCCAGAGCCCGGACTTGAATCTGATCGAACATCTCTGGAGAGCTGAAAATAGCTGTGCAGTGACGCTCCCCATCCAACCTGACAGCTTGATAGGATCTGCAAAGAAGAATGGGAGAAACTCCCCAAATACAGGTGTGCCAAGCTTGTAGCGTCATACCAAATAATACTTAAGGCTGTATTCATTGCCAAAGGTGCTTCAATAAAGTACTGAGTCAAGGGTCTGAATACTTATGCAAATGTTATATTTCAGTTTTTTATTTGTAAGAAATTTGCACACAAATATACCTGTTTTTGCTTTGTTATTATGGTGTATTGTGTGTAGATTGATGAGGGGGAAAAAACTATTTGATCAATTTTAGAATAAGGCTGTAACGTAACAAAGTGGAAAAAGTCACAGGGTCTGAATACTTTCTGAATGCACTGTAGTATAAAACACCACACCTGTCTTGAAAGGTAGGGTAGGGATGGCCTTGAATCAATGTTACATTCTCTAAGTTTCAATTCCATGCGCTTATCTCAAGTTTGATATTGTATTAATACAATGCAATTGAGTATCAATTTACCTTACCCAAACACTGGTTTAATTTGGGCTTGTGCGACCAAAGTATACATCCCTGGAACTGTTTGTATGATTTTCAATTATATCACCCTGCTTCTGAAGTGGTCTGGTCCCTTTGTAGATAACCAATGGAACTGTGTAGCTTACTACTTTTCCTTATTCATTTTGTAAAGGAAGTATGTGCATCTCCCAAAGGCACTTTCTCTCTGTTATCCTCATTCCTGGAAAGGCGGCGCTCCTCACCATTTCCTGCCGTGGCTGTAGATGTTTTATTGATTAAAGCCTTTAGATTGCTACACTATCCCTTGGGCTGAACATCCGCAATGGTGGACGTGTTGCTTTGCCTCTGAAACCTCTCAGAAATTAAATACAATCAACTCCTGATAATTATGCGAAGGCTTGAGGCTGTCGTGACCAGCACTAAATTGCATGAGCATGCAGTTATCAGGTGGAATTAATAAGAATGCATAAATGAATTGGGACTGGGAAACAAAGTTAGCATTCATCCAAAGTGAATACTGATATATCGTCTGGTAATAAGATGGGTTTAGCATCTGAAGATAATTTCAGAAGAACATCTCTGAAAACAAGACCGATATACAGTTCTGATAAATTAAATCATATTCATGCATTGGTGCTGTGTACAAAAAGCAGATGACACAATTTAAAAGGAGATTAATTTATCTCTTTTAACGTTGAAGTGTAATATCAATCAGCAAATTGAGCTCTGATTAACAATCCGACTGTAATCAGCAAACATTGTAGACTTGAATAAACATAACGTGTGTAGCTATGCGTGATATTTTCTGACTCCAGGGGTGTAGAAATGCTCAGGCTAACGCATCCTCCAGTTGCAGCAGTAGCCACAACTGGCCCATCTCTGAACTGCGCTGGTTGGCAGCCTCCAAGGAGCTCCTGCATGGGGGCCTCAACCTGTTCCCCGTCGACGACAGCGTGAGGGGACTCTGCTCCGGTCCAAAGAAGGATGCTGAGCAGATGGAGGAACAGCTTGAAGACGTGAGCCTACTCTTCTGTTGACCTTATCTGTCTTGCTTTACTTAGCATTGATGTTGATGTCTCACTTTGTCTAAGTCCCATGTATTGGGTATCTTTCTTTCTGTCTATAGTAAGGCAAGATAAAAAATGTGTACTTAGGGTGCTAAAAGTTACAGATTGCTACTTTTTCATTCATTTCATTCTCTCTCTCTCTCTCTCTCTCTCTCTCTCTCTCTCTTTTCTTTCTTCCTTCTATTTAAGAATGATGGATGCCACTGTGTTCTTGGGGACAGGTGTGTGCCTTTCCAAATCATGTCCAATCAATAGAATGTACCACAGGTGGACTCCAATGAAGTTGTAGAAACATCTCAAGGATGATCAATGGAAAAAGGATGCACCTGAGCTCAATTTCGAGTCTCATAGCAAAGGGTCTGAATACTTATGTAAATAAAGTATTTCTGTTTTTTTATTTTTTTTTTATACATTTGCAAAAATGTCTTCAAACCTGTTTTTGCTTTGTCATTATAGTGTGTTGTGTGTAGATTGATGAGGGTAAAAACAATTTAATCAATTTTTGAATAAGGCTGTAATGTAACAAAATGTGGAAAAAGTCAAGGGGTCTGAATACTTTCCGAATGCACTGCATATTCTGTTTGTTTTGTAAACTTCATGTCAACAACATCAGTTCCTATTAGTGCTACAATGCAAGTCCCATGGAATAAAAGCGTTCTGCTCTCTGTGGTAGAGATGTACTCTAACTTTTCTTTCTGTATGCAGGCCAAGTTCTTTTTGTATGTAGCTCTGCTGAGAAATAGGCTAATTTGCGCTCTAATGGTGTTTTCCCCACTTAGCTAGAAATCAAAGTTTGCGGCCAGAGGGGCAGTCTAGGAATCAGCATTGCAGGAGGGAAGGGCTCTCTGCCTTACAAGGAGCATGACGAGGTCATCCTTATCGCAGGAGCAGCCCTGCTGCAGCCCCAATCGGAACACCACACCTCCTGCATGATAAGGGTAGCTAATAATAATAATATCTCTGGAGTGGCATTTATAAATGGCAGGAATGTTAGCCAGCAGTAAAGTAGCTGAATATTTACCTAGGCAGTTGATATTTCATTTCAGTGTTAGCGCTCAGCTGACATATTTTAGATTCAAATTCAGATCAGATTATTGGCGGTGAAGAGAAACCAAAGTTGATTAAAACAATTCCCTTGGTGATGTTTGCCATTCAATTCCAGTTGTTGTACTTCTACTATAGTTTATATTACATTTTGTATATCTTTATATCCAACGCGTCGAGAGGAGCACCATCGGAAAAGGTGGGGGTCCACATTGGAGACAGAGTGCTAGAGGTTGGACCCAAATATCCTCCCATGTTGTAGGCCCCCTAGTTCTGTTTATTTTCATGTAGCTACTATGACCACCAGATTATAAATCACCAGTGTACATCCCCTCCATACCAGGCTCAGTAAAATAGGCCATTGCAATTCACCTCCTGGCCAGAGGAGGGCGGCATTAGACAGACACAAATGCACAAACTGTGGTCTGCAGAGGTTACAGTTACAAAGGAGTTATGCTGGTTAGTAGAAACAAATATTTTTCTCTTAAAAACAAGTATGCAAAAATATCTGTATCTAGTGTGATATTGGTCAAGGAGTTGACCTTTCATTTGCACTGCACTGCAAATGTAATCTCAAACTCTTAGACCAAATGTGGCTCTGAATGATCTATTGCTGGTCTATAAATAGACCTGTTTATTTTCAGTGAATGCACACTTCGAGGCGATAGCTTCTATTTACCACCCTCGACCCCTGCTTCTACTTTCGCTGGTGTCCAACTGGATCATTTGTCACTTGTCCATCCAGGTCAATGGCCTGGACATGCAAGTGGTCAGCCACCACGAGGCTGCCCTGAGGAATGCTGGGAGCTGCATCAAGATGAAAGTCATGCCTCGATGCCTGCCGGGTCCAGCAGGAAAGTGCTGTTGCTGTCACCGTGAAGAGAGACATTCTCATGAGCTGGCAGCTTGTTGACCAGGAGGAAGGACGCCAGCCACCCAAGGCCCAGCAGCCAGGCCCGGAGCCCTCTGTGGACTGTAGCCTGGCCAAGAGGATTGAGACTGTGGTCTGTAACGGCAACGGAGTGGTGAGTGGAGTTTACCACTCCAATGGCTCCAAGTATAATTGTGTTGGCAAAATAAAAGTGAGGCAGAATAGAATCCTAGGTTGGGTATTGTCTTTTTAAAACGACTCCAATAATATAGTGTCTCGTTTTTTTCAGAACATTCTCTCCATCTATAGGTTATGCAGCGTTTCCCAAACTCGGTCCTCGGGACCCCAAAGGGTGCACGTTTTGGCTTGTGCCATAACATTACACAGCTGATTCAAATTATCAAAGCTTGATGATTAGTTGATTATTCGAATCAGCTGTGTAGTGCTAGGGCAAAAACCAAAATGTGCACCCCTTGGGTCCCGAGGACAGAGTTTGGGAAACCTTGGGTTATGGTCTTCATTATTGTTCATGTCTTTGGTTCTTCTCAGCCTGATCTGGAGACTGTCCTTAATTGGTCATTCTTTGAATGAGAACCGGAGACCTCGTTTAAAAGCCATGCACTTCAAGTGGTGAAAAATACCATGACGGTAAGCAAAAAGCTTTCTCAGGGGTCTAAAAAAGATGCCCTTTCCTCACACCCTCTCCTTTATCACCATTGTCTGAAAAACTGACCAGGTAAAAGCCAGCTGGTGGAAGCTCATCATTAGGCTGGTTTTCACCTGGTCGAGTATTTTCTGATCAGTCGAGGGGAAGGAGATGAAGGGAGGACAGAACAATCACATTTTTTGAAAGAGTTTCTGATGCAATCTTTGAAACTTGTCAGAGTCATCGCATAGTGTCCCATACAGATATAGGATCTTCATTTGATCACCCTGTTGCAGGATAACTTTCCTGGAAGTGAAAAAACTTGTAGTGTATTTGAGGTTTAAAAAGGCTTCTGAAGTTTGTAATTTCCACTTTGAAATTTCAGACTTGATTTTCACTTATGAAAAATGTATCAACCCCTACAACAATGTCCATTAGTTATAATCCACATAATACTGTAATTCACATTTCCCGTTGCTGATGGATTATTCTCCTACTGTAGTAAACTGGCTCGAATTAAGATCCTGCATCTGTAGATGTACGCACTTGTTGAATAATTAATCCTCTATTAGCCCCTTATCAAACGACCTTAACGGGATTGTTCACTTCAAAAGTTTGTCAGAAGTGTTCCAAGCTCAGAAGTGGTATAATGCTAAATTGAAGCCATGTCCCACCCCATCCGTTGTTTAGTATACTTCAACCCCAGATTAATCGAAAAGATACGCACTGTCAAATTTCCAAATTTTATTCAGTGCCTCTTTCCCATTCATTTGGGATTAGGGGGTAAAGCTGGATCTAGACAACAGATGAAGTGAGACGTGGACTCGTCTCGACAGTTGTGAAATTCTAGTTGTGAAATGCCAGTATGTTATCAAACTAGATGATTTACCGATCATCCATTTTATTTCCCACCCAATCATGTTCAATTCCTGGGCAATCTCCTGCTAGATACCTCGGATTATCCTCACCCACCCCTCTACCTCAGACGACGATGTGGAGCCTGTGACACAGGACCCTGACAGTGAGGCATTAGAGGACTTTGAGGATCCAGACTGCCACATCCACTCTGAGTGCTTTAACAGTGCTTACTATCCCCCCTGACCACATGCCTAAGGTTTGCATGCGAAAAATGTTAACAACAACTGACTTGTTACACACAACTGTCTTTCTCCTTACTTTTGTATTGACTTGAAAAAAGGAAAGATATTCCAACTAAAGATATGTTTATGTAAGTAAAGAACGAGTGAAATTGGCTGTTGTTGTCGTTGCACTGCTATTTTGGGATGATTTACAACACTTTGCTTTAATGGTAATGGCTGCTATAGTACATGGTAAGACCATGGCAAGAATAAACTCATTGAACAACGGGAGTCTTTGATTGGGCAGAACAATAGACTTGTTTTGCATTGCACCATTCATGTGGGAGTCCAACCACAATGAATCAAGACAAAAATAGTATTGTTACACTCCAGCTTCTCTCTCTGAAAGGAAGACTCAAAAAACAAAAGGTAGTTAAAAGGTAGATGAAAAATATCTGTTAAGCACTTACAATCTGTTATGCTCTTCCAATTGAGAAAGTTTGTGTTCAGTTGGTCAAAGTGTTATTCTTCTAGCTACCTCTACCAATGAACCACTGAACCACCGCAGCGGATGGTTTGGCAAGTGGTTATTGGTATGCCCCCCTAGCCACGAGAGTGAGACACCCTCTTACTCTCCCCAGTAGGAGCTTGGATACAATGCCACATGCCTGGAGGGACTAAACAGTCCCTGCAGAGGCTCAGTCTGAAACCTCCCTTCTCCTAACACCTGCAGCCCAATGCTAAATATAGTCTTCTTTTGACCTTGCGGAAATATTTATAATATGTGAAAGGCCAAAGAGTCTAAATGTCATTAAACCTAATATCTTAAAAGGTCCAATGCAGCCGTTTCCTTTCTCAATATCAAATCATTTTTTGGGTTACAATTAAGTACATTAATGTGATTGTTTTTATAATTAAAATGGTAAAAAAATAAACAAAAATAGATTCTTAGCAAAGAGCAATTTCTCATTTTGCTGTGACTGTCAGGGAGTGGTCTAAGTAGCCTCTGCCGAGTCCCCAACAACTGGATTTTCAGGGGAAATGGAAAGAGAGCCTGTGATGCAACTTCCGCTTTTGGATGTTAACAAGACTTCCGCTTTTGGACGTTTACAAGGTGACACTCCATCTTAACTCCTCCTCCACATTTACTGAATTGGTTGAACAGTGCAGAAGAGAACCTCCCCCGACAGTTTATTTTCTTCTCGTCAAGACCAGTATTTAGGGGATCTAGTTTCAGGCATTTCTTTTACGCGTTCTACTTTACGTTAGGTCTGAGTGGGGATTGGAACACTGAAAATGATCTGTTATTGGCAGAGAGGTTTGACATTCTCTTTCTTATTGGTCTATTAACTCATTTACTGCATGGTGATGTCACCATGGAAGGCCAAAAATCCATCCCACCAAAACAGGCTGAAATTTCAGGTGGTCTTTTCAAACAGTTCTTCTAATAACCGTTATTTTTCATGTTACATACAGTATCCCTCCCATTAGGCTTGTCAAATAAGGCCCCTCTTGCAGACCACTTCCAGACAGACCTAGCAAAATTCTTGCTTGAGAAATTGCTTTTTGCTGAGAAGGTTATTTTTTATTTTATTTTACAATTTTAATAATAAGAAAAACAGTAAGGTACTTAATTGTTACCCAGAAATGATTTGATGTTAAGATATAAAAGGCTGCATTTGGCCTTTAAACTGTTAAGAAAATCCTGCTACTGTACTAGAATGTGCAACACTTTAGACCTTACTTGCACTGTATGAAATTATTTTATTTTTGTGTTCATTCTCTCACAATTCTTATATTGCCAAATATTTAATTTCTCAAACATTTATCTGAAAGCTTTGTTTTGTGAACCTTTTTGATAAGTCAAAGCTCTGTGAAACCTCCTGTATTTGGCAAAGTTAGAGGTAAGTGCAACTCGAGCTGTACAACCACAAATGTATGTTCAAAGTTTGAAAGGGACCTTTTATTTGACCTATTCTCCGCGTGACTGTAACAGAGTGAGTTCCTGCGGTACACCTCTCGTATCCCACTTGCCACAGCAGCTTGGTATCCGCAGCTAGTCTGCAGGATGCTCAACACTGTACACCTCTCGTATCCCACTGGCCACAGCAGCTTGGTATCCGCAGCTAGTCTGCAGGATGCTCAACACTGTACACCTCTCGTATCCCACTTGCCACAGCAGCTTGGTATCCGCAGCTAGTCTGCAGGATGCTCAACACTCCTCTATAGCTGGAGTGTTTGAGGAGTGAGGTCACATCCTCCGGCTTGCTCCCGTTTTTTACTTAGTCTTCCACCTACGCTTTACACAATTGTTTTCATGAAATGTGCGAAGGTTGTGCTCGATTTCTGCAAAGCTGTACATAAAATGTACTTGTAGAAGTGGTGCCCCTGACTTAAATGTAAGATTGACATTTCTTCAAAGAAAGCTGTCATTTTTTCCCAACATATCTATTGCTACAGATTATGTGTGCCATTGTTTATGATGTTATATAATGTGTTAAAGTGAAATTATACTAAATCTGGAAATTATACTAAATCTGGAAATTATACTGAATCTGGAAATTATACTGAATCTGGAAATAATACTGAATCTGGAAATTATACTAAATCTGGAAATTATACTAAATCTGGAAATTATACTGAATCTGGAAATTATACTGAATCTGGAAATTATACTGAATCAAAATATGTTAAATTCATCGGAAAATGTATTTAATGCATTTCAAAATACATTCTGAAATACATGAAAGTATGTGTATATATATATATATATACAGTGGGGAGAACAAGTATTTGATACACTGCCGATTTTGCAGGTTTTCCTACTTACAAAGCAGGTAGAGGTCTGTAGGTACACTTCAACTGTGAGAGACGGAATCTAAAACAAAAATCCAGAAAATCACATTATATGATTTTTAAGTAATTATTTTGCATTTTTAGACTCCAACCTCTCCACAATGGCCAAGACCAGAGAGCTGTGTAAGGACATCAGGGATACAATTGTAGACCTGCACAAGGCTGGGATGGACTACAGGACAATAGGCAAGCAGCTTGGTGAGAAGGCAACAACTGTTGGCGCAATTATTAGAAAATGGAAGAAGTTCAAGATGATGGTCAATCACCCTCGGTCTGGGGCTCCATGCAAGATCTCACCTCGTGGGGCATCAATGATCATGAGGAAGGTGAGGGATCAGCCCAGAACTACACGGCAGGACCTGGTCAATGACCTGAAGAGAGATGGGACCACAGTCTCAAAGAAAACCATTAGTAACACACTACGCCGTCATGGATTAAAATCCTGCAGCGCACGCAAGGTCCCCCTGCTCAAGCCAGCGCATGTCCAGGCCCGTCTGAAGTTTGCCAATGACCATCTGGATGATCCAGAGGAGGAATGGGAGAAGGTCATGTGGTCCGATGAGACAAAATTAGAGCTTTTTGGTCTAAACTCCACTCGCCATGTTTGGAGGAAGAAGAAGGATGAGTACAACCCCAAGAACACCATCCCAACCGTGAAGCATGGAGGTGGAAACATCATTCTTTGGGGATGCTTTTCTGCAAAGGGGACAGGGCGACTGCACCGTATTGAGGGGAGGATGGATGGGGCCATGTATCGCGAGATCTTGGCCAACAACCTCCTTCCCTCAGTAAGAGCATTGAAGATGGGTCGTGGCTGGGTCTTCCAGCAGGACAACGACCCGAAACACACAGCCAGGGCAACTAAGGAGTGGCTCCGTAAGAAGCATCTCAAGGTCCTGGAGTGGCCTAGCCAGTCTCCAGACCTGAACCCAATAGAAAATCTTTGGAGGGAGCTGAAAGTCCGTATTGCCCAGCGACAGCCCCGAAACCTGAAGGATCTGGAGAAGGTCTGTATGGAGGAGTGGGCCAAAATCCCTGCTGCAGTGTGTGCAAACCTGGTCAAGACCTACAGGAAACGTATGATCTCTGTAATTGCAAACAAAGGTTTCTGTACCAAATATTAAGTTCTGCTTTTCTAATGTATCAAATACTTATGTCATGCAATAAAATGCAAATTAATTACTTAAAAATCATACAATGTGATTTTCTGGATTTTTGTTTTAGATTCCGTCTCTCACAGTTGAAGTGTACCTATGCTAAAAAAAATTACAGACCTCTACATGCTTTGTAATAGGAAAACCTGCAAAATCGGCAGTGTATCAAATACTTGTTCTCCCCACTGTATATTGTAACATTTATTTGGAAATGTTTTTTATAATATATTCCAACATGCAATTAAATGTATTTGTAAGAAATATATTTTTTTAATTAAAATGTATGGCAAATCTTGGCCAAATCATATTGCAACGAAATGGTGACTGTTTTAACAATGACCCTTTAGTAGGTTCTTTGGTATCACATGCACTAATGTCAGTCTCATTAAGACAGCAGAACTGGCAGTGTACAAGCTTAACCTTTAATGACAGAACACAACATAAGACATTAACTGGCATGACAATCTGTCACACCCCCAACAAGCCACACCTCCAAGTCTTCTAATAGGCTGCCGCCGCTACAATATATTTTGTCAAAAGGCATTATTATTGTTCTTGACACATACCAAATGAATACCAAAAGCACTAACATGCATTGAAATGACAACAACAATGACTACAAACATGATCCATTATCGGTCATGTAGTGACTCCATGTCGTTCACACGCATATGACAAATAAACAAGTGAACTTGATGAGAGCATTGCAACCAACGTCCAACAGGCAGAACTTAATGTACTGGGTCGTTCCATGAAAATGAGTGCCTTTTGTGTCCCTTGGATATGTTACGTAGAAATTATGCAACAATATTGAATGTTAAAAGCCTGTTATACGAAATTAAGTGCCCTGTAATTAGACCACACAGAGAATTCAATAAATCTGATTTTCAATGTGAATAAAGATTTGCTAAAGTGCCAGAATTCAGCATTTTGACATCTTTCTGCACCCTATGTGACTTCTAGGAAGATTTTAACCCACTAACCCCCAAAATACTCCAAGTTTTTGTAGAAT